CTCAGCTCACTGCAACCTCCGTGTCCCAGGTTCAAGCTATTCTTCTGCCTCAGCTTCCTGAGTAGCTGGGACTACAGGCATGCGCACCACGCCTGGCTAATTTTTGTATTTTTTGTAGAGACATGGTTTCTTTCACCATGTTGGCCAGGATGGTCTCAAACTCCTGACCTCAAGTGATCTGGCCACCTCAGCCTCCCAAAGTGCTGGGATTATAGGCATGAGCCACCGAACCTGGCCTCACTGTTTGTAGTCTTTTGATTTCAGTTCCTCCTTTATAGTTTTTATTACTTTAAATATAGTTATTTAGTTGGCTTATTTCTAGTGTCCAAAGTTCCTTTAGGCATAGTCCTGTTATTTATATCTTCTGTTTCTCACTCCTAATGAATTGATTTTTCCCTTACATATTTTATACTTTGGGACTGTGAGCTTTCATTAATAGAGTTTGTCTCTTGAATCCTGGCATCCAGGATGGAGGGTGTGTCCCTCTACAATGGTTTTGCAGTGTTTTAGAAATATCACAAACTTGTGTTTTAGAAATATCACAAACTTGGAGCTAATATTGAGTTAATTTCTCAGCTTGGAAGTTCTTAGACCATGTAGATAGGGTAAATTCAAACTCCAGAGCTGCCTGAGGACAGCTGTGATCACTATCACAGCTGCATAGTGATCAATTTGACCATAAGACTTGTGACCAAAAAAGGATTTTATCAACTATAGCACCTTCATCTCATTGAGAGGCAAGCAGCTACCTAAGTACATAGGCTCTGCAGCCCCTTTTCCCATTTTGGATGTGACTTTCACCCTTGAGAGCCTTGGGTGTCTGTAGGTCACTTTGATACGTAGAAGCCACATCCCCTTTCTCCCAGCAATCTTTTATTCTGTACTAGTGACCCCAACCCAGATGCAGTCCCACACAACAAAGGCAGCATACACATTACTCATCTGTGCTAACTATCCTGTTTCTAAGGAAACGGTGCAGCAGGAAACCATGCAAGGTCATTCTCAGGATGGTGTTAACCCTTTACTCACAGTTTCGCAAGTTGAAAACAACTTAAGATTTACTATGGGGTCCTCAGTTCTAACTTCCCACTCTGCACAGACCTAAGGCTTTGCATCTGCTCTGCCTGAACATTAAAATCACTATGTTACCAAGACTGCCATTACCAATTCCTTTCACCAAGGATAGCCATAATATTACCCTTTCTTTTTGGTCCTGTTAATTTCTTTTCTTTCTTTGAGAGTTCAGTTCAGCTCAGGATTTGAAAGGATGTTGCTCTCTTACCAAGCATTTGTGGATGCAGCCATGCATCACTTAATGATGAGGATGCATTCTAAGAAATGCATAATTGAGTGATTTCATCATTGTGCAAACACCATAGAGTGTACTTACACAAACCTAGATGGTATAGCCTACTCACATCTAGGCTATATGGTAGATAGCCTTTTGCTCCTAGGCTACAAACCTGTACAGCATGTGACTATACTGAATACTGTAGGCAATTTTTACACAATGGTAAGTATTTGTGTATCTACACCCATCTAAACGTAGAAAAGGTACAGTAAAATTATAGTATAAAAGATTTTAAATGGTATGCCTTTATAGGGAACTTACCATGAATGGAGCTTGCAGGACTGGAAGTTTCTCTGGTTGAGTCAATGAGTGAGTGGTAAGTGAATGTGAAGGCCTAGGACAGTACTGTACACTATGATAGACTTTAGAAACACTGTACACTTAGGCTACTCTAAATTTATGTAAAATTAAAGAAAAAAAAAAAAAAAAACCTTAGCTTACTGTAGCTTTCTTGGCCAGGGGCAGTGGCTCACACTTGTAATCCCAACACTTTGGGAGGCTGAGGAAGGCAGATGACGAGGTGAAGAGTTCCAAACCAGCCTGGCCAACATAGCGAAACCCCGTCTCTACTAAAAACACAAAAAAATTAGCTGAGTGCAGTGGCACACGCCTGTAATCCCAGCTACTCGGGAGGCTGAGGCAGGATAATTGCTTGAACCTGGGAGGCGGAGGTTGCGGTGAGCTGAGATTGCGTCACTGCGCTCCAGCCTGGGCGACAGAGTGAGACTCTGTCTCGAAAAAAACTTTTAAAAACCTTTCTTACTTTATAAACTTCTAATTTTTTTAAAAAAATTTGACTTTTTTGTAATAACAGCTTAAAACACAACCACATTGTATAGTGGTATGAAAATATTTTGTTTCTTTATATCCTTCTTTTATATGCTTTTTTCTATTTAAAAAAACATTTTGGCCAGGTGCGGTGGCTCACGCCTGTAATCCCAGCACTTTGGGAGGCAAAGGTGGGCAAATCACCTGAAGTCAGGAGTTTGAGACCATCCTGGCCAACATGGTAAAACCTTGTCTCTACTGAAAATACAAAATTATCTTGGCGTGGCGGCACATGTCTGTAGTCCCAGGTACTTGGAAAACTGAGGCAGGAGAATCGCTTGAACCCGGGAGGCAGAGGTTGCAGTGCCTGGAGATCGTGCCATTGCATTTCAGCCTGGGCAACAAGAGCAAAACTCTGTCTCTAGAAGAAAAAAAGGTTAAAATTTTTTTTTTTTTTTTTTTTTTTTTGAGATAGGGTCTTGCTCTTGTCGCCCAGGCTGAGTGCAGTGGCCCTCTGCAGCCTCAACCTCCTGGCCTCAAGTAGCTTTCTCACTTCAGCCTAAGGAGTAGCTGGGACCACAGGCACATACCACCAAACCTGGCTTTTATTTATTTATTTATTTATTTTATAGAGGTGGGGTTTTGCTGTGTTGCCTGTGCTTGTCTCAAACTCCTGGGCTCAAGCGATCCACCCGCCTTGGCTTCCCATGGTGCTGGAATTACAAGAGTGTGCCACCACACCCAGCCTTTTTTCACTTTTTAAACTTTTTTGTTAAAAACTAAGACATAAACACACACCTAGGCCTGCACAGCGTCAGGATAATCAATATCACTGTCTTCCACCTTGAAACATCTTGTCCCACTGAAAGGTCTTCAAGAGCAATTAACACACATGAAGCTGTCATCTTCTATAACAATGCCTTCTTCTGGATGCCTCCTGAAGGACTTGCCTGAGGCTGTTTTACAGTTTACTTTTTATAAGTAAAAGCAGTACACTCTAAAATAACAATAAAAAATATAGCATAGTAAATACATAAACCAGTAACATAGTGGCTTATTATCATCATCAAGTATTGTATACAGTATGTAATTGTATTGCTATACTTCTATACAACTGACAGTAGATTGATTTACACCAGCATCACCACAAACGCTTGAGTAATTTGTTGCACTATGGCATTATGATGCCTGTGATATCACTAAGGTGATAGTAATTTTTGAGCTCCATTATGATCATATAGGACTGCCATCATATATGTGGTCCATTGTGACTGAAACATCTTCTCATGCATGACAGTATTTTTAGCATTTCTAGGTGTTTGTAGCAGGAGATTTTCAAATTATCCCATTCAAAATACTACATTAGAAGAAATTTTGAAACAACTTAAACAAAACAAAATTTAAAATTCCTCCCTGTCCCTTCGCAATAAAGAAACTACTTAACCTGAATTCAAATTGTTATTCCACCTTTTTTTTTTCTTTTTGAGACAGAGTCTCACTCTGTGGCCAGGCTGGAGTGCAGTGGCGCGGTCTCGGCTCACTACAACCTCCGCCTCCTGGGTTCAAGCGATTCTCCTGCCTCAGCCTCCTGAGTAGCTGGAACTACAGGCACGTGCCACCATGCCCAGCTAATTTTTTTTTTTGTATTTTTAGTAGAGATGGGGTTTTACCATGTTGGCCAGGATAATTTCTATCTCTTGACCTCATGATCTGCCCGCCTGGGCCTCCAAAAGTGCTGGGATTACAGGCGTGAGCCACCGCGCCTGGCAGACTCCACCCTTTTTTAGCAGTATAATCTTTGGCAAGGTACTTGACTCCCTGAACTTTCTCCAAGCATTATGTGGTGGTATTAATATCTCTTTTGAGGTGTCATTATGAGATTTAGTTATTGTCATTCAAACACCCTAGAATGTTTTACGAAGTTCTAATTGAGCCCCTGCCTAGATAGGTCTTTAGCCTCCCCTCACCATTTCCCAGAAATAGACCAGCATAGGCTGGGTGCGGTGGCTCACACTTGTAATCCCAGCACTTTGGGAGGCCAAGGCGGGTGGATCACCTGAGATCAGGAGTTCAAGACCAGCCTGACCAACATAGTAAAACCCCATCTCTACTAAAAATATAAAAATTAGCCAGGCAGAGTGGCACATACCTGTAATCCCAGCTACTTGAGAGTCTGAGGCAGGAGAATTGCTTGAACCCAGGAGGCGGAGGTTGTAGTAAGCCAAGATTGCACTATTGCACTCCAGCCTAGGCAACAGAATGAGACTCCGTCTCAATAAATAGATAAATAAATAAATAAATAAATAAACAAACAAACCAGTATAGTAAACTACTTGTAAGTTTCTTAATTGTTCTTGTTCTCTGTAGCTTCCAATCCTTTATACATAGTGTTCCTGTTTTTAAATACTCTCTTCCCCTTGTTCATCTTCCACCTAACTGTTCTTACTAATCCTTCGTGATTAGCTTAGATATCAATTTCTCCAGGAAGTTGTCCTCACTGATCCCCAAACCTGGGTTAGGCTCCCCGGAGTCCTCTGTGCCTTCTGTAACACCTTGTGTTTTCCTATCATAGCTCTCAGCAGCCTGTTTACTTGTCTGAACGTTACTTGAGAGGAAAAATTTTTGGCTGTTTTATTCACTATTGTCTCCCCAGCGCCTAACAAAGAACCTGGCACACGGCTCAATACATGGTAGCTATTGTTCTTATCAGCACCTTCATCTATCATAATTCTCAAATGTCTGGTTGTTGTATAAATAACTCTTAAGTATGCCAAGAAGCTTAGAGTTAAGTTACAAGACTGACAAGGGCATGCATTGTTTCAGAGCCATGTTTGGGACCTTTGTTTTTCACTTATTCAATCATTTTCCCTTTTTATACTAGGAACTGACCCAGGAGTGTGATGAAAAGAAATCCCAGTATGATAGCTGTGCAGCAGGCCTCGAAAGCAATCGGTCCAAATTAGAACAGGTAAGAAGAGAGTTTTTATTTTAACAATTTAGCAAAAACTACCTGTGTACACACCTATAGTCCCACCTACTCGGGAGGCTGAAGCAGGAGGATCACTTGAGCCCAGGAGTTTGAGGCTACAGTGAGCTATGATCACACCACTGCATTCTAGCCTGGGCCACAGAACAAGACTCTGTCTCTAAAAAAAATGTTTTAAATACTGCCTGTGTGTGCACATTTTCACTACATCAATGTCAAAAGATTCCCAAATCTTTATCATCATCTCCCAAGCCTGTCTCCAAAGCTCCAGAGATCTTTATTTCTTTAATTTGTACACACTGAATTTCCCATCTGTACCACTCCCAACAAAGTACAAGGCTCGTTATCTGCTGCCTGGCCTCCACAGAAACCTTTTACCTATTCTCTTGCTTCTACTCTTGCTCTCCTAAGGTTCATTCTCCATAGGGCAGCCTAAGAAACCTGTTTAAAATTTTTGCCACCCTTCATTGGCTTCCTGTTGCACTTAAAATAAAATCTAACCACCAAACTGTGATCTACAAGGCTCCACCTGCCTTATGAACTTCATGTCCATGTGCTCTACTCCTCATCCATGGAGCTTCAGCCACTCTGACCTTCTTCCTAAACTTCAAACAGGCCAAGCTTGTTTTCACTTGTGGAATTTTGCATGTACTCCTCTCTTCTGCATGATATACTCTGCTCCTAACTCTTTGCCCTCCTCTCTCCTTTTCATCACTAGGTCTCAGCCTCAGTGTCTCCGCCTCTCAGAGATCTCTGATTACCTGATGTTATCCACTCTCCTTCCCAACCTCGCCCACCCAGTCCCTCTATCACAGTCTACTGATGAATTTCCTTCATAGCACTTATCCCCATCTCAAGTATCCTTCATTATGTTTCCTTGTTTATGTTGGTTTCTTCCACTTCAGTGAAAGCAGGGAACCTGCCTGTTCACTTCTATGTTCTCAGCACTTAGAACAGTGCTGGACACCCAGTAGGTACTTAATAAATGTATGATTGGGCCAGGTGCAGTGGATCATGCCTGTAATCCCAACACTTCGGGAGTCTAAGGTGGGAGGATCACTTGAGGCCAGGAGTTCGAGATCAGCCTGGCCAACATGGTGAAACCCCATCTCTACTAAAAATACAAAATTAGCCAGGCATGGTAGCATGTGCCTGTAGTCTCAGCTCCTCAGGAGGCTGAGGCACAAAAATGCTTAAACCTGCGAGAAGGAAGTTGCAGTGAGCCAAGACTGCACCACTGCACTCCATCCTGGGTGACAGAGCGAGACTCTGTCTCAAAAACTACAATTGGACTTGCAGGGGTGATATGAGTATTCTCTAGAAAAAGATTATTTCCTATTGTGATAGAATAAACAAAGTTAAAATTGCAGAAGAGAAAATGACTCTGATGGTAGTCCTTTGTTGTACATCTAAAGTCATCATCACCATGTCTGTCTCATTCTTTCGATAATGTTGCCTATCTAAAATTATATATTATAGGAAGTTAGAAGACTCCGTGAAGAATGTCTTCAAGAAGAAAGTAGATACCATTATACAAATTGTATGATTAAGGTAAGACAAAGTAGATCAAAAACATTTCTGAGTTTTTTCTATATTAAAGTCTTCCCTAAAACTTAAGTCTTTCTGTTTAGAACCTAGAAGTTCAACTTCGTCGTGCTACTGATGAGATGAAGGCATATATCTCTTCTGATCAACAAGAAAAAAGAAAGGCAATTAGGCAAGTAATTTTGTTGTTTTATATTGAGATACTTCATATTTTCACCAATAAAAGTTTTATAAATAAGGTAGAATTATACAAATTTAGCATATTTAAGTAAGTAGACACTAAGATATTAATACTAAATCTTACTAAACATCTAGATATTTCAGCCCTGCTAAGTGGGAATACATATGATTTTATTTCTTGCTTGCTTACTTTTTGATTGTGGTGAAATATATAAAACATAAAATTTGCCACTTTACCCATTTTTAAATGTACAGTTCATTGGCATTGATTACATTCACAACATTGTACAGCCTTCACCACTGTATATGTAAAAAATTTTTTCGTTATCCCAAACAAAAACTCTTGTAACCATTAAGCAATAATTCTTTGTTCCCCCTCACCCAGGAATATATATAATTTCATAATTGCTTTGTCATAAGCAGTAAAGTTGGTCTCTTTTTAAAGTCCCACATGGCCTAGACTCTAGTCATCTGCCTGCTAATTGTGCAGTGTAATGACTGCATTTTAGCTGGAAATTGTGTGATTGCAGTGTACCAGTCTTCAAAACAAGAAGGATGTATAAATACTGCTTAGTCCTTATATGGTGCTTTTTTTGCAATCCCAGCTTGTGGCATACTGTAATAAATCAAATCCTGCCTAAAAAAAATACATTTATGGTTGAATTGCTAGCTGTGATAAAATGCAGTCATTGAACAACATAAGCCTTCTTTGCCCCTCATCACAATTCAAGTGTTAAATATTTTGTTGTTACTATTCAGTAAAAATTCAGATAAAATGTAGGACTCACGTTTATTCTAGATTGCATTGAGATTTTGAGTGGCCTGTACATTAATGTTATAAAAAGAGACTGGGCGTGGTGGTGAGTGCCCATAATCCCAGCTACTCAGGAGGCTGAGGCATGGAAATCACTTGAACCCGGGAAGCAGGGGCTGCAGTAAGCTGAGATCACACCACTGCACTCCAACCTGAGCGACAGAGGGAGACTCTGTCTTAAAAAAAAAAAAAAGAAAAGAAAAGAAAAAAGGAATCTAAGAAATAGAGTGTCTTGCAGAATCTGAATTTTTTTTCAATGTAATGCACTAGAATGCAAACCAGACTGAAAATATTACACAAATAGAGCAGTGTTTTTTCTAATACTCTAATATACTAAACTAAAAATGTACTCATTCATATTATTTCATTGAATGTAAACTTCGTTCATATAAACCTATATGGCCAATGATAAGAAATGAGAAAAGTTAAATTTGTTCTTTAAAAATAAAAATTTTTATAAATTAAGTTCTATTTCTTCCAAAGTTATCGATATAAATAGTAAAGAAGGAAATAAGTGCTCTTGAACTATTGATTTTCTGATCTGTCTTCTAGCCAGAGATAGATATATATATATATAGATAGATAGATATAGATATAGTTTTGTTTTTTTTTTTTTGAGACAGAGTCTTGCTCTGTCGCTCAGGCTGGAGTGCAGTGGCGCAATCTCGGCTCACTGCAACCTCCGCCTCCCAGGTTCAAGTGTATTCTCCTGCCTCGGCCTCCCGAGTAGCTGGGATTACAGGCACATGCCACCACATCTGGCTAATTTTTGTTATTTGTGGTTTTTTAGTTTATATTTTTGTATTTTTGTAGAGATGGGGTTTCACCATGTTAGCCAGGTTGGTCTCAAACTCCTGACCTCAAGTGAACCACCCTCCTCGGCCTCCCAGAGTGCTGGGATTACAGGCATGAGCCACCATGCCCCACCGAAAATGAGGCTTCATCAGGACTAATTGCAAAATTTTCCTTTGCTTAGACTGCTATATTTTCTTTTTTTGTGGCTTATGATTTCTTGGAGTCCCAATTTTATATTGTTTACTTTTTTCTTAAATACTACAGTGTAGCTTTACACAGAAAAACAGGCTCTTCTTTGTTGTGTGTTCCTTTACCCTCATCCTTCAGTCTTTATCCTTAACATGTCACCTGCTTTAAATCTCACATTTTGTCTTAAATAGTATTGAAATATAATTTTGTTTATAAGTAAAATACAATGTTATTATGTTTTTAATTTTTACGTTAAAAGTATTATTTTTTTAGCCTACAAAACAAATACTTGTAAAAACAAAAGTAACCATTATGAAGTAGAGTGCACAGAAGTTGAATGCTGTCCATATTGCCATGCCTCAGAAATGTCTACTATTAATACTTTGGTGTACATTATGCCATATTCTTTTCCCATGCGTTTGCTGATACATCTGTATATATGTGTGTTAGTTAATGCATGGGAAATGTTATGTGCATGTGTGTATACACAAACGTATACATATATATATCTATAAAAATAAGATTAAACTGCACCTGAGTGTGGTGGCTCACACCTGTAATCCCAGCATTTGGGAGGCTGAGATGAGCGAATTGCTTGAGCCCAGGAGTTCAAGATCTGCCTGGGCAACATGGCAAAACCCTGTGTCTACCAAAAAACTACAAAAAAAATTAGCCCAATATGGTGACACATGTCTGTAATCCCAGTACCTGGGAGGCTAAAGTGGGAGATTGGCTTGGGCCAGGGAGGTGGAGGCTGCAATGAGGTGTGATCATGCCACTGCACTCCAATCTGGGCAACAGAATGAGACCTTGTCTCAAAGGAAGAAAAAAAAGATTAAACTACATATACTGTTTTTCTCTTGATCTAGAATATTTTCCGCTTCAGTGTTTATAGATTTACCTCATTCTTTTGTATAACTCCTTCTTATTTGTTTGAATAGATGTGCCATAATTTGCTTAAACATTTTCCCATCTACAGATATTTAGTTTGTTTGCATATTTTCATTATTATGAGCAATGGTGAAGTAAATAGTCTGCTTCTATGTTTATTTAAGTTACGGGATATTTTTGTAGGATGACTTCCTAGAAGTAGAATTGTAAGATTAGGTGCTACTTAATGTTTATTTGAAATGTATATCCTTTCTCCTTTCTACAAGCCTCTTCAAAAACAATGTGTAATTTAAGCAAATGGGTTGCCATTGTTTTGAGGGAAGATTAACCAGAAATAGTATTTAACATTTTAATTATCTTAATTTCCTATGGAATGTTTTGCTATCTTTTTTTTCTTTAAATTACTGTTTACTTGAAGAACTAACTAAAGATGGGGAAAGACAAAGAATTTCATAATGGATTTCATTCTGACTCCAGTACCCTAAACTATATTGCCTAATGTATTTTAGATAGATATATTAATTTATAATTCACTTGTATGATCAAATCATTTGAAGTAAATTGAAAGTAAATCATTATGTTGACTCCCTAGGGAACAGTATACCAAAAATATTGCTGAACAAGAAAACCTTGGAAAGGTAAGAATTATTATTTATTTTTTTACGTGTGTCTAACTGATTCAGGCTTTCAGTACTGTACATGATTTATGACTGTCATTCTTTCCAAAAGGTTACAGTACAGTTTTTGAGAGAAAATTGTTCATTCTTTTTAAAGATGGAAGACTTCCTTAAGAATTTAATTTTACAGAAATAAAGGCACAATGGATTTTTTAAACAAAAAATTATCTATTTTTAAATCACAAAGAGTTCATAATAATGTTCTGCATTACAGTTTTCAGATTATCCTCAGGCTGGGCACGATGGCTCATGCCTGTAATCCCAGCACTTTGGAAGGCCAAGGCCGGTGGATCAGTTGAGGTCAGGAGCTCAAGACCAACCTGGCCAACGTGGTGAAACCCCGTCTCTATGAAAAATACAAAAATTAGCCAGGCGTGGTGGCAGGCACCTGTAATCCCAGCTAGTTTGGAGCCTGAGGCAGGAGAATCGCTTGAACCCAGGAGGCAAAGGTTGCAGTGAGCCGAGACTGGGCCATTGCACTCTAACCTGGGTAACAGAGCGAGACTCCATCTCAAAGAAAAAAAAAAATTATTCTCAGATACCTTTTTATGCGATAGGTACAAATTTATTCATTTACTTTATTTAATAAACATAAAGTTCTTACTATGATCTAGGCCCTGGTCTAAGCCCTTTACAAACATTAATTTATTTAATACAAACAACTGAAAAACCTTGCTTGAGATACTCATCTCCCTCCTGCCAGAGTTATCTGATGGTGACTGAAATAGGACTGTATGATTATTGTTCTTAGTTCTCTGAGCCACTCCTAGAAGTGGTAGAGAGTAAGTTATGGCCTTGACCATCAGGACTTAAATGACCAACTGATTAGTTATTCTAGCTGACTTCATAAAGCAACCAATTTAACAAAGACACCAGCTTTGCATTCTTAGGAGAAAAAAAGAAAAAACATATACTTACTAATAATTCAGAGGAAAGATGACCAGTCATCAAGTGACTTGGCTTCACTCTTAGACTTGTGATTCTAAACAAGCCCTCTAATCACTTTAGAGTTCATTTCCTCATATTTAAACTGAAATAGGTAGATGAGCAGTGAGCAGAGATCACACCGTTGCACTCCAGTCTGGGAAATAAGAGCAAAACTCCATCTCAAAGGGGAAAAAAAAAAAAGATAGCCTTTGTTATCGAAATTTTCAAAACTGTATCTTAATCAATCCATATATATCCATCATCCAACTCTAATTATTAAATTTGTGGCCAGCCTTGTTTTATCTATAGTCTCATCCAGTACCTGCCCCCAATTTTTTTCTAAATTATTTTTAAACACATCTCAAATTCTTATTATTTTATCTCATCACATTTCAGTATGTATCATATTTTGAACATAACCACAACACTATTATCCTACCAAAAAGAATTTAACAATAATTACATAACATCCAATACCCAATGTCCAAACTTCACCATGATTTATTTGTTTAAATCAGGATCCTACTAACAGTCCATACATTGTTATTAGCTTATATCTCTCTTAAGTCTCTCTCTCTCTAGGTTACTCCCCCATCATTTTTTCCTTACAATTTTTTGTTGAAAACAAAAAAAAAAAACCTGATAATTTGTCCTAGTGGGTTTTCAACATTTTGAACTTTGCTGTTGGTAACCCTTTGGTGTCAATTAGCATGTTCTTCTGTTCCCAGTATATCCTGTGAATTGGTAGTTAGATCTAGAAGCTTGATTAAATATGTTTTGATATTTGGCAAGAATATTTCATAGATGGTGGTATGTACTTCTATCAGGAGGCTTTCTTCTTATGATGTAGACAGCCATTGATAATCATTTCCTGGATCCATAATTCATTAGAAAGTTGCAGAGTGGTGACATTCTGATTATGTCATTCCTTCTTCATTTATTGGCTGGAATAATTCTGTAATGAGCAACTTCTCCTTATCTTCTATTTACTTACCCTGAGTTACATTCATATAAGAAAGGTAGAATAACTGCTTGATTCACTGTTTACTGGTTTTCAAAATGATGAGTTGGTTCTTTATCGTCCTTCAAAAGTAATCTTATGACTTTTAGATTGAGCACATTTGATATGTTTCAATCTATTGTGATTATTAGTCCCATTAGTACTCAAATTTGGCCAGTGGAAGCCTCTGAAGTTAGCTTTTGAATCCTTTTGAAAAAACCCTAGTAGACTTTGATGACTTCTTTGTTTTCTGGTGTGACAAAATGTTCTAATTTCATACTGTACGTTTTCTTTCTCAAACCTGAAATTAGCCATTTCTCTAAAAGGTGTTCACCTGTGATTTGTTAATAAATGACCATTATATCAATGAAAATAAATAAAAAATAAAAGGAAGCCTTCTCAAAGCTGATTCCTCCATTTACTGGGAGAATAGTGAATTCCGTGTACATTATTTCACTTATGGGATGACACACCATACTTAAAAGGAAAAAAAGAAATAATTTTCATATTTGAAAGCATATATGTGAATCAAGTTATAAACATTCATTTGTATAATATTTTAACTAGAGATTTTTGGATTTGTAGGATTTGATATGATTGTCAAAATTGACTTTTTTTTTTTTTTTTTTGAGATAGAGTCTCACTCAGTCACCCAGGCTGGAGTCCAGTGGCGTGATCTCCGCTCACTGCAACCTCCACCCACCAGGTTCAAGTGATTCTCATGCTTCAGTCTCCCGAGTAGATGGGATTATAGGAGTGTGCCACCATACCCAGCTAATTTTTGTATTTTTGGTAGAGATGGGGTTTCTACCTGGTTAGCCAGGCTGATCTTGAACTCCTGACCTCATGTGATCCACCCACCTCAACCTCCCGAAGTGCTGGGATTACAGGTGTGAGCCACTGCGCCTGGCCCAAAATGGACTTCATCCAAAGATTTCGTGTAAAGTAATGTACTTTTTTCATATGAAAACATTCCTCTTTTTTTTTTCTTTTGCAAAGTATCTGGATGGATGCTGTACATACATAAATATTTTTCAAACCTGAAATCCTTTCAAAGACCCAACCTTAATTGCCAAATCTGATTAAAGATTTTTTTTCCCCCATCCAGTGTAGTGTTTTCTTGCAGGATCATTGGGAAAAGTGGCAATATAACATCAAGTATATTTAAGCAAGTGAACCAATGACTGGCTCATTCCCCAGATGTCAGGCTGTATCATTTAAGAAACAAAGCTTCTTAATCCTCAAAGTTTTAGAGTAGATCTAAATTTTCAAGGCAGACAGAACAAACCTAGCCTTTCAAAGTGATGATAGTCTAAGCCCTCTAAGCCAATATAAACTGGGCATCCATAGACCTCCTCAGGCCAACTGAGTTTCCCCCCTTCTATACCACCACCTCCTCCTTTAAAGAACAATGAAATATGTGATTAGTGATTTTTGTACATTGCAACTGTAAACAAATGTAAATAAGATTTAAAATACATACATACTAACGTCAGTTGTATTCATAAAGTTAAAGGTTTCAAACACACATGGTTATGAAGCAAATTAAATGTAATATTTCTGACACAGACAGTGCCCACATCCTGTCTTTGGTTCTTTAAATAACTTTTATAGGTTGTTAGAATTTTTTGACAAGGAAATTATTCCAATAATGTAAGAAAAGTTACAGGTTAAGTAGTGCTGTAATTTAAAATCATGTGCAGAAGTCTTAAAATTCTTGGTCTGCCTTAATGGCCTTTCTAAATACTTTTTAGTTTATGAAGATAAAATATTTATTGTAAGATACATTATTTATAACATAAACTTAAATAGATGTATTAATATGCCAGGTATTGCATCAAAAAATGTACTGGTTATATTTATATTTTTAAAATTCTGTGTTCTATTCCTGTTTGCTGTTAACTTTGCTTTCATTATGCATAGCTGGGTGGGCAGTATTTTAATGGGTGGTTTGAATCTGGTCCTCAGCTTAGTTAATCCTCTTATTTGCGCAAGTACCAACGACCAGCATTCTCATTTGTGTCTCAGATCAACTAGTATATTGACCCTATGTTAAAAGAGGAAAGAATGAGGATGTTCCTGTGCACTCTGCCTCTGTGTCTCTGCTTGGTTTTCTGTCTGTCTTGGTAATTTTCTCACACTCGGTGTCAGTACAGGTATTTGTGACACACTGCGTTTCCCTCTATGTGCACTATCACCTTTTCTACCAAAATGTCAACTGTAGTTGTCTCTAGAGCATGGGATTATAAATGAATTCTTTTTTTTTTTTTTTTTTTTTTGAGACAGAGTCTCACTCTGTCACCTAGGCTGGAGTGCAATGGCACTCCAGCTCACTGCAGCCTTGAGTTCCCAGGCTCAAGTGATCCTCTTGCCTCAACCTCCTGAGTAGCTGGGACCACAGGCATGTGCCACCATACACAACTAATTAAAAAAAAATTTTTTTGTAGAGATGGAGGAGTCTCACTTCCTTGCCCAGGCTGAATTCTCTCTTTCTTTTTTCCTACCTTGTCACCTATTGTCTCTGACTTTGAGTCTACTCTTGCTTTCAGTCACCCTTTCTCGATTTGCTATAATATGGAACCAAAGTATATTTTTGTAATGTATTGGAGATTCTTTTATTCCTGTTTAAAATTTTAGAGTCAATGAGTAAAACAGTTTTGGCAAGTGGACCGTCTAATATGTTAGTAACAAAAACAATTCTGAGAAGGATTTTGGCTTATTTAATAGTATACTATTTTTATAATCACTAAGCTTGCTCCCTGAAGTATATGTGCATACAATTTTATTTATTTGGACATAAATAGAGTATACACTGTTTCAGGATAGGATAGAATACAGCATTTAATAACAAGAATATATATAATACATGATAATTTATCAAGTATTTCAATATCTATTATGTCGCTTGAAAACATAATCTTATCAAGTAAATGCTTTTATTTTCCCCTATTGTTAGCCTTGATTTGGTTTTTTTGTTGTGTTTTTAAGAGACAGGGTCTTGCTCTGTTGCCCAAGCTGGAATGCAGTGGTGACAGCATAGCTCACTGCAGCCTCAAATTCCTGGCTCAAGTGATCCTTCCACCTCAGCCTCCCAACTAGCTAGGACTACAGGCACGTGCCACCACCATTCCCAGCTAATTTTTTAGTTTTTATTTTTGTAGAGACAGGGTATCATGTTACCCAGGCAGGCCTTGAACTCCCCAGCTCAAGCGATCCTCCTGCCTCGGCCTCTCAAAGTGCTGGGATTACATGCAGTGAGTCACTGCGCCCAGCCCCCAGCCTCCTATTATTCACCTTATTTTATTTATTTTTTTTCTAGCGACGGAATCTCACTCTGTTGCCCAGGCTGGAGTGCAGTGGTACGATCTTGGCTCACTCTGCCTTCCAGGTTTAAGCAATTCTCCTGCCTCAGCCTTCTGAGTAGCTGGAATTACAGGCACATGCCACCATGTCCAGCTAATTTTTGTATTTTTGTATTTTTAGTAGAGACAGGATTTCATTTCCTGTTGGCCAGTCTGGTCTCGAACTCCTGACTTCAAGTGATCTGCCCACCTATATAGCATGAGTCCTGTTTTCCACTTGAAACTCCAAGTATACCTGACACATAACAGGTGCTCCATAATTATATCTTGAATAAATAAGAATTAGGTTTTAGTATATAGAATATACTGAGCCTGTTGGTTTCTTGAGAAATTTTTATGTATATGGAAATTCTAAAACAAAAGGTGAACATTTCTCAGGCTTAGGCTAATAAATGAATTATTTTAAAGCTATCTGAGCTATAACTATACATTATTCTTGAGTAATATGTCATGTACATCCTCCTAGCTGGTTTTCATTGGAGAACTAGAAAGGCAAGCAGTTTGACTGAGAGTCTCATAGTGGCGCGATCACAGCTCACTGCAACCTCCACCTCCTAGATTCAAGCCATACTCCTGCCTCAGCCTTCTGAGTAGCTGGAATTACAGGCACATGCCACCATGCCCTGCTAATTTTTGTATTTTTAGTAGAGATAGGGTTTCACTATGTTCATCAGGCTGGTCTCGAACTCCTAACCTCAAGTGATCTATCCCCGCCTTAGCCTCCCAAAGTGCTGGGATTACAGTTGTGAGCCACCACGCCTGGTCTATTAACCTTTATTGATAATTGAGAAAACTGAAGTCCCAAGAAATTAAGTGCCTTCTTACTGTTAGAGGAGACAAAACCAAATTAAAACTGAAGTCTTCTGACTTCCAAACTCTATATTCTTCTTTTCACACCATGATACTATTCCACTTTCCTAAGTATCTTTTTCTCTCACTTCCTTCTATAGTTTTGTGTGGTTTTTTTGTTTGTTTTTGTTCTCTGTATTTTTTTTTTTTTTTTGAGACGGAGTCTTGCTCTGTTGCCAAGCTGGAGTGCAGTGCCATGATCTCTGCTCACTGCAAACTCCGCCTCCCAGGTTCAAGCAATTCTCCTGCCTCAGCCTCCCGAGTATCTGGGACTACAGGCGCACACCCCCATGCGTGGCTAATTTTTGTCTTTTTGTGTTTTTTTGGAGAACTAGAAAGGCAAACAGGTTGACTTAGTGTCGAGGTTAGTAGAGATCTCCATCTCCTGACCTCGTGATCCGCCCGCCTCAGCCTCCCAAAGTGCTAGGATTACAGACATGAGCCGCCACGTCTGGCCTTAGCTAACTTTTATAATCTTAGTTTTGATACATTATAGGAGTATGTGGTTTAGCTAACTATTATTTATCTAGTGTAGAAAACATACCATATTCCTCTGACTATAGCAGTAGAAATATGCCCCTGTAACTGAGATTTAATTATTCCTGGTTTTTTTTGTGATAGAAACTTCGGGAAAAACAAAAAGTTGTACGAGAAAGTCATGGTCCAAATATGAAACAAGCAAAAATGTGGCGTGATTTGCAACAATTAATGGAATGTAAGAAACAGTGCTTTCTGAAACAACAAAGCCAAACTTCCATTGGTCAGGTAATTCAGGAGGGAGGAGAGGACCGGCTAATACTGTGAATTGTGTTATCGTTTGGAGTTTTACTTCATACCACTAGCTATAAGCCTAATCTCATAATGTATTTCTTTTCTGAAACCGATTTGTATAGCGTTTTGTTTTCAGATTAGCCATTCTTTATTAAGTTTTTGTAGAAAATAATGTTAAGGTAGATTTAGTCTTAATGTTTTTTCATATGAAAAAGAGGCTTTTATTATTTTCCGTAGTTTAGACATCACTGGCATCTTCTGAGTTTTATGAGACAGGAAACTAAGTTTACTATCTGTAAATGTAAACATATGTCCATTGAGAAACATGTAGTTTTTTTTTAGGATGTAATAACCCAATGGCTTACTGTTTTTCTTAATCTTTTTTTAAAAAACTTTAGAAGAATCTTTTAGGAATTAGTATCTCTTGTTTTGAAGAAATGTTTATCTGAAGTTCAGCAGTTCGTACAGTTTCACTTCAGTTTATTTTTCTTCTGTAAAATGCAAGAAAATTTAATATTTTGACTAACATGTTCTGTTTGTATAATTTAAAGGCAAATAAACTTGGTACATATTTTATGTCTATTTAAAAAATGTGAAGTTGTGTCAAAATTTATTCTTTTTAAAGTAAGTATTAACATCTAATATTAAATTGGAGGATTATTACTTTTCCTTTTTTTTTTTTTTTTGGAAACTGAGTCTTGCTCTGTTGCCCAGGCTGGAGTACAGTGTCGCGATCTCGGCTCACTATAAGCTCCGCCTCCCGGGTTCACGCCATTCTCCTGCCTTAGCCTCCCGAGTAGCTGGGACTACAGGCGCCTGCCACCACGCCCAGCTAACTTTTTGTATTTTTAGTAGAGACAGAGTTTCACCGTGTTAGCCAGGATGGTCTCGATCTCCTGACCTCTTGATCCACCTGCCTCAGCCTCCCAAAGTGCTGGGATTACAGGCGTGAGCCTCCACACTCAGCCATATTATTACTTATTTTCACCAAAAATCTATTACAGATTTTTTTTTTCTTTTCTTTGAGATGGAGTCTCACTCTGTTACCCAGGTTGGAGTGCAGTGGTGTGATCTCAGCTCACTGCAACCTCCGCTTCCAGGATTCAAGCAATCCTCCTGCCTCCACCTCCCAAGCAGCTGAGATTACAGGCACCTGCCACCACACCTGGCCAATTTTTGTATTTTTAGTAGAAACAGGGTTTCATCAGGCACAGTGGCTCGTGCCTATAATCCCAACACTTAGGGAGGCCGAGGCGGGTGGATCACGAGGTCAGGAGATCGAGACCATCCTGGCTAACATGGTGAAACCCCATCTCTACTGAAAATACAAAAAATTAGCTGGGAGTGGTGGTGGACACCTGTAGTCCCAGCTACACAGGAGGCTGAGGCAGGAGAACGGTGTGAACCCAGGAGGCAGAGCTTGCAGTGAGCTGAGATTGCGCCACTGCACTCCAGCTTGGGCGACAGAGCAAGACTCCGTCTCAAAAAAAAAAAAAAAGAAAGGAAAAGAAACAGGGTTTCGCCTTGTTGACCAGCAGGCTGGTCTTGAACTCCCAACCAACCTCAGGTGATCTGCCCACCTCAGCCTCCCCAAATGTTGGGATTACAAGCGTGAGCCACCCATGCCTGGTGTATTACAGATTTAATAATATAATAACCAGGGTGGACACGGTGGCTCATGCCTGTAATTCCAGTACTTTGGGAGGCTGAGGCAAGCAGATCATTTGAGGTCAGGGGTTCGAGACCAGCCTAGGCAACATGACAAAACCCCATCTCTACAAAAAAGACAAAAATTAGCCGGGTGTAGTGGCACACCTGTGGTCCCAGCTACTTGGGAGGCTGAGGCTAGAGAATCACTTGAACCTGGGACGTGGAGTTTGCAGTGAGCCGAGATCATGCCACTGTACTCCAGCCTCGGCAATAGAGAGCAAGACCCTGTCTTAAAAAAAAAATCATAATAATAATAACAATCTGATAGTTATGGGAACTGTTATTTTATTTTATTTTATTTTTTCTTTGAGATAGTCTCTTGCTCTGTTGCCCAGGGTGGAGTATAGTGGCACAATCTCAGCTCACTGCAACCTCTGCCTCCCAGATTGAAGCAATTCTCTTGCCTCAGCCTCGCGAGTAGCTGGGATTACAGGCATGGACCACCACACCTGGCTAGTTTTTTGTACTTTTAGTAGAGACGGGGTTTCACCATGTTGGCCAGACTGGTCTCAAACTCCTAAGCTCAAGTGATCCACCCGCCTTGGCCTCCTAAAGTGCTGGGATTACAGTTACAGGCATGAGCCACCACACCTGGCCTGATATTTTAAATATAAAAAAAATTGTCGTAGAATATAGATATCACATATTAAATGTAGCACAAGACTCAAAGTGAAATTCAAGAGTTCAAAGTGCTTCCAATCTCTGCTTCATTTGGACAAGGTACTTGAAGATTTCTTAGGTTTCCCTTAGAAAGATACCAAATTCATGTGCCATGCTTTACTTAATTTCAATTTTAGTAGTTTTTCAAAATATCTTGGCTTTAGATTTGAAAACTCAAATTTCAAATTGTTAGCATGTCCATCTTAGGCTAGTTCTTTTCAGTTGTCTTTAAATTTTTTTTCTTTTTTTTTTTTTTTAGAGACAGGATCTTGCTCTGTTGCCTAGGCTGGAAGGCATTGGTATGCAGTGGTATGATCATAGCTCTATGCAGCCTCAAACTTCTGGGGTCAAGTGATCTTCCTGCTTCAGCCTCCTGAGTAGCTGGGACTATAGGCACATGCCACCATGCCTGGCTAATTTTTTTTTTTTTTTTTTTTTTAAGAGATGCTATGTAAGCTGTTTTTGTGTCAGTGTATAGAAATACCTGAGGCTGGCTAATTTATAAAGAAAAGCGGTTTAATTGGCTCATGGTTCTGCAGGCTGTACAGGAAGCATGGTGATGGCGTCTCCTCTTGGCCAGGGCCTCAGGAAGCTTCCAGCCATGGCAAAAGCTTCCTGGTGAAAGGGGAGCCAGCACATCATATGGAAAGAGCAAGAGCAAGAGGTCAGGGGCAGGTGTCACTCAACTTTTAAAGAACCAGATCTTGTGTAAATTCAGAGCTAGAAATCACTAATCACCATGGGGATGGCACTAAGTTATTCATAAGGATCCACCTCCATGATCTAGGCACCTCTCACCAGGCCTCACCTCCAACACTGGAGATTACATTTCAACATGAGATTTGGAGGGGACAAACATCTAAACCATATTAGATGGGGTCTCCTTTTGTTGTCCAGGCTAGACTTGAACTTGTGGCTTCAAGTGATCCTCCCACCTTGGCCTCCCAAAGTGCTAGGATTATAGGCATAAGCTACCATGCCTGGCCCAAAACTTTTTTTTTTTTTTTTGAGATGGAGTTTTACCCTTGTTGCCCAAGCTGGAATGCAGTGGCGCATCTCGACTCACTGCAACCTCCACCTCCCAGGTTCAAACCATTCTCCTGCCTCAGCCTCCCAAGTAGCTGGGATTACAGGCATGCACCACCACCAAAAACATTTTTTAAAGGATAAAATTGTTTCTACCCTGTAAAAAATATGGATCTCTTTGTTCCCATGTGTGTCCTACTTTTAATTTTTGTTTGAAAAGTTTTTTATTGGTAATCAAAGAGCCTCACTAGCTAGAGATAATTGGTAATGCTAGGAGCTGTAGCAAGAAGAGATGGGGTCCATCAGAATAAGGAAGAACTGGACTTACCAGAAAAGTACGGAGAGAAATATCTTTTAAATTTTTATAAGGAAAACAGAAGCATTTCAGTGTTCATAAGTGATTTGAATTGGTCCTCTGCTTGTTTTATCCTCTTATTTGTGCAAGTATCAGCTGCCATCATTGTCATTTGTGCCTTTAGATCAACTAGCAGACCAGCAGTCCCCCAAAAGAGGAAAAGCGGTGTCTCAGTGTGTAGAAACAAATCCTTAATTCAATCATCATTTTTTGGATAGCAACATAGATATATTTGTGTGGTGTTGGCTACTGGCATGTTGTTTTTAAGCCAATAGTAAGTGATGCTACTTTAAACAGAATATGAATTCCTTCGCAAGTATTTGAAAAAGACGAGATGCTCTTTATAGAAACAGCATTTTATTCCTCCAGAGGAAAGTCAGTTCATAAAATTATTAAGCCTAGTGTTAATTATTTTTTAGCCCTTCACTGTCTTTGGTATTCCTCTTGATTTTCTTCACTGTCTTTGGTACTCCTCTTGATTTTCTTCACTGTCTTTGGTACTCCTCTTGATGTTCTTCACTGTCTTTGGTACTCTTCTTGATTTTTAAAATGGTTAATGACAGATACTCCACAGAATCCTTAGAATTCTACTGATTTGATTATTACTTGCCGCCTTTATTCCATACAGAAAGAATGTGTGGATTAAACGCAAAGGCAGCTCCAAATTACTTTGTTCACTGAAGCAGAACATCATTATTACTTCAAGAAAAGCAAATTGAAAAAAAAACTCTAAAAGTACAAAGTTATTTATAGATTGTATGTAACATTGGACATTTAGTAATGCAGCTTAATGGGTTTAGCGCAGTGACTTTCCACTCATTTCATGATTTGATTGGAACATTAAAAAGCTTTAACTAACCCTGACAGTCTTTGACAGCTGGCACTTACTGAAGAGCTTATTACATTTTTCCTTCAGGATTGATACTCTGGCTAGCTAATTGATCAGAGTACTTAATCATTTCAGAAACTAATTTGTCTTTCATGTGATGGCCCAAATAAAGGAGAAGAATGCAGCCTGTGAAATCTGCCTCTGTGTTCACAGATTTCCTTCTTCTAGTTGCCAGCTGTTGCATGGGACTGACTGTATAATTGTAAATTTCAAAAGGCCACTGCTTATCTTGCTTTCTGTATTAGTTCAGGAAACAATCCAACTTTAAATGGTGTCCTTTAAGAAGAATCTTATAATATGATAATGTGCTTTCTGTTATAAATCTATTAACAACTGAATTCCAAAAGCCGTGTATTTTCTAGGTCTGGGGAATGTACCAGAAGGGTCTTAGAACACTGTTCAAATCCATATGAAAATCAAACCAGAAATTGCAGAACACATACCTTTTTCTTTAGATTAATACTTGCCCTTATTTTGCTCTAATTCAGGAGATAATAATAAAAGAAATTTAATTTAAACTATCAGATAAATGTAAATATATTATTTTGCCTAATTAACATTTATAAATTTTTAAGGTCTATGCACTTTCCAAGTCTGTTTCTTTTTCTTTTTTTTTTTTTTTTGAGACGGAGTTTTGCTCTTTTTGCCCAGGCTGGAGGGCAATGGCAGGATCTTGGCTCACTGCAACCTCCACCTCCTGGGTTCAAGCGATTCTCCTACCTCAGCCTCCCAAGTAGCTGGGATTACAGGCATGCACCACGATGGCCAGCTAACTTTTTGTATTTTTAATAGAGATGGGGTTTCACCATATTGGTCAGGCTGGTCTTGAACTCCAGACCTCAAGTGATTCACCTGCCTCGGCCTCCCAAAGTACTGGGATTACAGGCATGAGCCACCGCGCCCGGCCCCAAGTATGTTTCTTAACTTTTTAAGGTAACACAATACAGAGCACTT